GCGGGCAGCGCTGATGACTCGTAACGCAGCAGCTTCGCAATGTCCTCCTGCACAGACCAGGACTGGCTCACACGCTGCAGGGCGCTGGCCTGGCCCACTAGGCTAGGGAGGACTCGGGCATCTTTGGGCCCCTCCCCAGGGAAGTCCCACATCTCTTCAGCTTCCTCCCAGCCAGGGAGGGACAAGGCCCAGTGGGATTTTGAGCTGACAGGGCCACCAGGCCGGAGCCTTTGGCTCTGCCAGGCGTGACACAGAAGGACAAGGATCAGGTAACAAAGTGACATGCCCAGGATTCCCGATGGTCAAAGCAGGGGCCCAGAAGGATCCTGGACCTGGGGCAGGGCAGACGGCACCCAGGCTGCATTTTCTGCTCTGGGTTGTATACAAGCACGGGCCCCACGGGGGCAAACATTGTTAGCAGGCTCTGGGAGGAGGCTGCCCCGGGCAGGGACTCACACAGCAGGGTCCATCCAGACAAGCCTGCACAGTGACGGCAGAGTAGCCAGCAGGGCCCAGGGGAGGACCAGCCCAGGCTTCCCCAGCACCCTGCAGCCACAGTGCTCTCTCCTGGGGACCCACAAACTGGCTGCCCTCCTTCCCACACACTGCGTGGGGGCAGAGCTGACAGACACACCTCCTCCGGGGGGTGGGCATTACCCGGAACCTGAGGTGCTGGCTGCTCAACAGAGCCCACAGAACACACCCTTCCACCTTGAAAGATCACCTGGTGACTGGAGGATTACATGGCAACAACAGACAGCAGCATTTATGGGGCAGAGAGCAGCCGCTGGGTGAACAAGGCCCTGGGCCCCTACTCCCGGTGTCTAGAATTTCCACTGCTGACAAAATCACCTCCCCTGCCCTGCCCCCTGCGACCTGTCCACACCCCAGTGTCCTAAGAGGAATGGTGTGCTCACCCCTTTCCCACCTGTGCTCGGGGCAGTGTGCTTGGGGACAAGCATAGAGTGCTCTGAACCTGACTGGCCTGTGGCAGCCACCTCCTGCCCCATGTGCCTAGCCCCAGCAGGAGCCTGGACATGTGGCTGCCCACAGCCTCAGGCCGGCCCTACCTTGACCGTCTGCTCCGCCATGGTCACGATGCCTTCCCTCATGAACAAGCCATAATCATCAAAGAACCGGGCGTACTTCTCAGTGTCCTTCTTGCTCTGGTCAATGAAGAACTTGATGAGTCTCTGCTGCAGAACGTCCCGGAGTTTCCTAGAGGAGAGTGTGCGGTGTCCATGATACCCACATCACCCTGACCCAACTGACAGGCCAAGCAGAGTGAGCCGGGCGGGAGGCAGCCGGGAGCAGTGCCACCTAGAGGCGGGAAAGGATGCTCCCCATGGTACATAAAACAAGAAAATTACGAGCCATTTTAGCACCCAACCGGAGAGAACAGGATAAAAAATGGTGAGGGGCCAGCACGGTGGTGCGTAGAGTCCAGTTCCGGCTGCTTTGCTTACAGCCCAGCTTGCTACTGAGGCACCTAGGAAACAAGTGCAGGACCCAACATAATTCCCGGCCCCACCCTGGCTGTCACAGCTATGTTGGGAATGAACCAGCTAACTGAACATCTCTCCTGGTCTGCCACTCTGCCTTTCATATAAACATATCTCTAAATCAACCAAAAAACCCTGCTGAAAGTCATCAGTGACAGGAGAAAGTGGGACAGAAGAGAAGCCAGATACCCGCAGAGCTGCACCCGGCCCACAGAGGCAGGCTGTGGGCACTCTCCACTTGGCTTCAGCACTGGACAAGGTACCTTCACCACGCAATACCAAGGCCATGCTGCCCACAGCTGCTGAGGCCCCACACACAGGCCCAACGTTAACAGTAACTGTGTGAGGTTAGTTCTGCTTTTACTTTAGTTAACATCTTTCAAGAAGTTAAAATTAGAGACAGCAGGTTAAGTTGCCACCTGCCAAAACCAGCATCCCATATGGGTGCCAGTTTGAGTCGAGCTGTTCCCTCCTATTAGTGCCTGGGAAAACAGCAGAGGATGCACCCACACGGCAGACACCGAGGAGGATCCTGGCTTCAATCTGGCACAGTGCTGGCCATTGCAGCTGTTTGGGAAGTGAAACAGTAGATGGCAAATCTCTCTGACTCTCCTTCATGCTGTGCAACCCTGTTTTTCCAATGAATTAAGAGAAAAAAATCTTTAAACACAGAAGCCTCCTCATTCAAGGGTCCTGCAGGGGCTGGGACAGGTGGGACACCTGCATGGAGCCTTGGCCTGCGCAGGGCATCCTGCTGGGGTCTGGGCACCTACAGATGGAGGCAATTTGCAGGGGGAGAGCAGCCAGCCCTGGGGTCAGGCCAAGTAGAGACAGGGACACTTGTTAGGGACTGGAACAGACCAGGTACTGGGAAGCAACGTGTGAGGTGGGTCAATCTCAGAAGATGAAGTCTTCTCAATATCAGAGGACACTGCAGGGGACAAGACCAGAACGTGTGGAGGACTGGGTGGGCCCAGAGGCACTGACACCACACACGGGCCACACAGCTGTGCGCATACTTGCAGAGACCGACTGGCAGCAGCCACAGCTGTTCTGAAGCCTTGTCCACCAATGTCAGGACCAGGGTACAGCTTGACTCATCCCAATCGGAAAGCACTTGGCATTAAATGACAGTGACACCTGAAAGCCTTTGGAGTAAGTCCACGAACACCACCACGGCAAATGTCCCACCTGACAATGCCATGATGACAGTCGCATGTTCTACCTGACCCACACACAAATGACGAGGGTGATGCTACAGCCTCAGAAACCTCCACAGGCCCTCGCTGCCTCCAGAGAACTGCAGCCCCCAGACCATTCTGGGCTGAGGGCTTTCTACGACACACTGGCCTAGAACATTCCCATGGTGGTGAGCTGAGTTCCTGACCTGCTGGTGGCACCCTGTGCACCGCACTCCCAACCCACAGGGAGTTTGCAGTGCTTCTAAGACATTCTAAGATGGAAGATCTTTCCCAGCACAGGGAGTTCTCAGGCTAACATTCCAACCTTTGACAAGCACAAACGTAATGCAAGTTCCCGAAACACTTCAGCCAACAAGGTGAGCAGGGTGGCAGATGAGGGGCCCAAGAGAGTGGACACACAGCGAACACTACAGGATGAGGACACACACACTGTACATCACACACATGCCCACCGCACAATAAGAGGGGACACACTGCTTTCTCGACCCATGTCCACGAGACACCTTCCTCCCCAGTGAAGTCTCCCAGACACAGTGTGGCCCCTGGTGTTGGGCCAGGTCGAGCACCGCCAAGATCCCCACCCCCTAGCAGTCCCTGCCAGCGTGGCATGCTCGGGAAGGCCCAAGGAGTTGGGTCTCTGTCATCCACAGGGCAGAGTGGGACAGACTTCCCGACTCCGGCTTCGGCCCAGCACAGCCCTTGTTGGGGGCACTGAGGAATCAATCGGGGAGGGATAGAAGGTTTGTGTGCTTCATCAAGAGGCCACCACAAGGATGCTCACTGCACGCAGCCATGGTGACCAGTGTGGTCAGCAAGCACCGCCCCGTGGCATGCTAGCATGGAGGTGAGGAGTCACAGCTGCCAGGTGCCAGCACAGTCGGCACGGGTGCTGTTGAATTGTGTGATACCAGGAAGTGACCTGCGCATACTAAAGCAACCGGTTCTTCTGACCACGCAGCCCTGCACCCGCCACACAGCACTGGACATGGAGCTCCAAGCAGCCGGCCTCCTGCTCAACCCTGTGGACCTGGAAACACCAGCCCCACACACCCACCTGACAGGCCACTGCACTGTGACTCCTAGTTACTAGACATGGAGAGCGCCTCAGATCATAAGGCAGAAAAAGAGGAACACAACAGACCCGATGTTACACAAGACCAGGGAGACTGTGACAGTGGGGTGGGGCTGTGGGGCCTGGGGTGGTGGCTCTGGCCCTCCCCTGCTGACACCTCTGCGGGGGCCCTGGGGTGAGAGGTGCACCTGCGTTTCCGGGAGCAGCATCTGCGTCTGGCTGCAGCATGCTGCACTCATGCACACTTGAGTCACAAAGGTGTCATTTCTTACTTGCCCCTCATCCCACACAGCAACCCTGCAAGCCGCCCACTAACCCAAGCCACGGACGTGGGAGCTGCACACTGGGGTTCTGAGGAGCGGGTGCCTGTCAGTGAGCAAACATGATTCCTGCCAGGAGAAAAAGCCCAAAGACGCATTCGTCTGGGCAGACTCAGGTGCTCGCGGACCGCCAGAGGCCAGTCCCGACACCGGCCGACTCCAGAGGGGCCCAGCTCCGCCCCCTGCTCACCTGATGAGTGCGCTCTCCTGCAGCAACTCCCGGCTGAGGTTCAGGGGGATGTCCTCGCTGTCCACCACACCTGAGGGGACATGGCTGCTCAGCCCCTCCCTGCCTGACACCTGGCCCCAACCACTGCCCGGGACTCCACACTTCTCACACTCTGTGAACAGGCCCTTTAGCTCCATGGCCGGGATGCTCACCGCTCACAGGAAGTGAGAGGACAATAGGGGTCACGCTGAGCGCCCCCAGCTCTTCTCAGAGTTCGTGTGTATGTGTGGGGATCCTGGCTGGGGATCCATGTGCACCATGCCCCTCATGTTAGAATCAGGTGTTGTGATACAGCGCATTAAGCTGCTGCCTGCAATGTTGGCATCCTATATGAAGACTGGCTCATGACCCAGTTGTTCCATTTCTGATGTAGCTCCCTGTTAATGGCTTGAGAAAGCAGCAGAGGATGGCTCATGTCCATGGGCCCCTGCACCCAGATGGGAGACCTACATAAGCAGCTCCTGGCCCAGAAAATAAAAGATCTGCTTCTCTTCCCCCATCATGCTATAACTGCTTTCAAATAAATACATTTGAACCTGGCTCCTTTCAGTTTTTGATATTAAAAACAGTGTTGGGCCCAATGCGATAGCTTGGCGGTCAAGGTCCTCACCTTGAACGCACCGGGATCCCATACGGGCGCCAGTTCTAATCCGGGAAGCCCCACTTCCCATCCAGCTCCCTGCCTGTGGCCTGGGAAAGCAGTGGAGGATGGCCCAAAGCCTTGGGACCCTGCACCCACGTGGGAGACCCCGGGGGGCTCCTGGCTTCAGATCGGCGCAGCTCCGATTGTTGCAGTCACTTGGGGAGTGACCCATAGGATGAAGATCTTTCTCTTTGTATTTCTTTATCTCTGCATATCTGACTTTCCAATAAAAATGAAATCTTAAAAAAAAATTTAAAAAGGCTTGTGGTGTCATGGTTAAAGTAGCGGTGACCCCTGCATCCTCCATCAGTGCCAGGTTTGAGTCCCAGCTGCTCCACTGCACATGCTTCCAGCTCATGCAGCTTGGAAGACACTAAGAGATGGCCTGTTTAGGCCCCTGCTAGCCTCATGGGGGACCAGGACGGAATTCCTGGCTCCTCCTCGCTTCAGCTTGGTCCAACCACACTTTCATATTCACTTGGGGAATAAACCAGCAGATGGAGATCTCTCTGTCCCTGTCACTTAGTCTTTGTTTAAATCGAAATAAATCTTGAACAAAAAACAGGCCATCGCAGTAGTATAGCATGCTAATCCTTTGCTCTGTGGCATTGGCATCCTATATGAGCACCAGTTCATATCCTGGCTGTTTCACTTCTGATCCAGCTCCCTGTTAATGTGCTTGGGAAAGCAAGTCACTGGGACCCTGCACCCACATGGCAGATCCAGAAGCAACTCCTATCAGCTTCAAATCAGCTCAGTTCTGGCAGGGGCAACCATTTGGGAAGTGAACCAGCAGATGGAACATCTCTGCTTCTCCTGTGGAATTCTTACTTTCAACTTAAAAAAAAAATAGGGGTTGGTGCCTATGGCACCGGCATCCCATAGGAGTGCTGGCTTGAGTCACGGCTGCTCCACTTCTGCCAATGCAACTGGAAAAGCAACAGAGGACGGCCCAAATGCCTAGGCCCCTGTGCCCATGTGCCGGCCATTGTGGCCAATTGGGAAGTCAACCAGCAGGTGGCAGATCTTTATCTGTTTACTCTTTCTCCTCACTTAAATAAAAATGGGGAAGTCTGCACAAAATAAAATAAATGTGGGGTTGGTGCAGTGGGGCACAGGAAGCTAATCTCCGTACTGTGGTGCCCAAATCCCACATGGCACCGATTTATATCTCAGCTGCTCCACTCCAATCCAGCTCTCTGCTTGTGGCAGCAGAGGCTGGCCAGAGTACTTGGAACCCTGGACATGTAAGAGCCAGAGAAGCGCCTGGCTTTTGGATCGGCTCAGTTCTAGCCACTACAGCTATTTTGGAAGTGAACCATGGATGGATAACCTCTCCTCTCCTTATAAAATGTCTTTCAACTAAAAAAAAAAAATCTTTAAAATCTATACATGTATAATGTGACTGGACAATGTGCACCTGTGTGCTCAGACCTGGCCTTCTCCCTCAACAGTAATCCCATTAGCTCCTGAACAGCCAGCCCATAGTGCCCAGCCTGACCCTGTCCACGTGCAGGGTCGGCAACTCTGGCCCCAGGCACTGCCTCCAGACACTGAGCATGCACTGGGTGTTGTACCTCGCACGAAGCGCAGCCACTTGGGCAAGATGTCGGTGGCCTTAGTCTGAATGAGGACCTTGCGGCTGTACAGCGCGACACTGGAGCCCAGCTCCCGGCTCACATCAAACATGGACGGCTTCTGGGGTGAGGAAAGGTCAGTCAGTCCCGTGCAAGGAGCTCAGTGACAACATGAGCAGCCAAGGAGCTCCAGGCTGGAGATGCAGCATACACAGGATACCAAGATGGGAAGCAAGTCTGCTATCGCCCAGCCAGCACACACAGCCCTCCTGCTGCTGCTGCGTCGGGGCAGACACCCGCCCTGTACCGAGCTCTGCGGGGACCGAGCAGGCTTCCTGGGCACTGCTACCTCCCTTCCCCACCCCAGACCCTCCCTAAGGAAGACTGTATGTCCTCAGAACAAGGGGGAGCAGGCCCAGCCCACAGGCTAAGTCTGGGTCACTGTGAACCTGTGCAGCCTAGGAATGGTTTTCATACTTCTACACAGTGGGGTGGGGCGGATTTTAAAAGTGCTTCATGATCTGCAAAAAAGACAGGGCCACTTCTGAGTTGGTAACCACACAGCCTACTGGACCAGCCTGGTCTGGGCACCAAGGTGTTGCTCTCCCACCAGAGGGGCTGACATGTGTCAGCCATAGGCACAGGTCTGGGAAGGCTTGGGATTATCTGTAGACTTCACTCAAGGGCCAGCACCGGCCCAGCTCTTTCCAGGATGAACACTAAGAAATGTGAGAGGTCAGGAGAGTTGGACTGTGGGTGCAGGGGACAGGCAGAGCACTGAGGATGCACTAGCGTGGGAGCCCTACTCCACACAACCCTGCAAGTGCTGCCTGATGGCCTAGAATGACCACTGCCTAGACCACCCCCATCGCCAGGCCCTGGTACTGAGGCCTGACTGAAACATGGCACAGAAAACACACTCTCCAGGGGCCAGCACAGTGGCACAGTACACTAATCTTTCATTGTGGTACTGGCATCATATAGAGCACCAGTGCTGAGAGGGCCACTCACTGTGTCTGGTACATAGAAGAGGCTCCGGATGTTGAGTGGGGCGTCCGCCTTGTAGTGCAGGGTGTAGCGGGGCTTATCATGAGCCTGGGCGATGTAACGGTAGAACTCCTCATGCTGCCCCTCATCAACGTCCTTGGGGTCCATCATCCAGATGGCCTGGAGGTAGGATTGACAGGGAGAGCATGTTGGGCACAGCCCTCAGTGGCCACCTGGGCCGGGGAAAGGCTCCCATACAGAGCCCCTTCCCCAGGACAGTGTCAGGAAGGGATGTGAGGGTGCTTGGGCGTGCTGGACACAGTGGTGTCCACCCCGACAGAACAGGCACTGCTCAGCCGTGACTGGTGTTGCCACATAGCTGAACAGTCCAGACATGCTGCTCCATGTGGGATGGCAGCCACGGTAAGACCATGTTAAAAGTCCATATTAGCATGACAGGTCCAGAAATTCCCAGCAATCAAGGTACTGCTGCCGGGGGCAGGAAGAGTGCATGACGACAGGCACCGGCGTTTTACAGGGTAATGGGGACATTCTGGGAACGACCGTGACCTGTACCCCACTGCGGGCCTGAACCCCTCCCTAGACACCCTCTCTGTGCAAGCAAGTCCTATGCTGCCAGTGGACAGTTTCCCTCAGGTTGCATGGGCTCACCTGCAAGGTGTTGATGCGTTTTCCATTGAGGTACAAGGGGAAGCTGACGAAGTTACTGTATTTGGTCACCACATCTGCAAGACAGCAGTGAAACCTCGGGAAGCAGCTCCAGCCCACACTGCCAGACAGCGCCTCTCCCCAGTGCAGAGCCCAGTCACAGCAGATGCACTGGCAGAATGGGAAAGACCCTGGCAAGTGGCCTCTGGGGAGACGGGGCTCGGCTTTACAGGGAGTGGCAGTGCATCTGAGACAGCACTTGATGAAATATGAGAGCAACTGCTACCCTCTGGGTCCTGGGATCGCCTGGATTCAGAAGCGCCCTCAAGCAGGCTGGGCCAGAGGGCTGCTGACATCTTGCTACGGAACCCTCCATGTCACTGAACTCCCAGGCGGAGGGGAGGAAAGGACCTTTGTGGCAGGAGGCCTGTCCTCTGCAGGCCCAGAGGTCACCCACTCTGTTCCTCCCCTTCCTGCTAGGAACCTGGCATGGCCGCTGCTCACCCTGAACCCGGGCCTCGCTGGAGAAGTCCCTGCAGTCCGACTTGAGGTGCAAGATTATTTTGGTGCCGGGTCTGACTCCTGATGCTTCGGCGATTTCAAACACCCCGGAGCTGAGACCCAGGGAGAAACGTCACTGCTCACACAGCCTCGTGGGGGCAGCCCAGCCGCTTTCCCTCGGGATCCCACAAGCAGAGTGCCCAGCCCCCAAGTGGCCATCAACACAATGACTTGGGGGTGAGGGGTGCACAGCCTCCTGGCACCCCCAGGGGGTCCTGCCTCGGCTTATGGAACCACAGAGCAGATCCAAGGCTACAGGTGGGATCTGACCCATCTCCAAACCAGACCCAGGCACCCTAGGTACGGTCTCTGAGGTCCTGGACAAGGTGCTGTTGAGGCAGCGCTGAGGAGACAGACAGCTTCACTAGCAACTTGGTGCACAACGCTCACAAAGTTAGAGGAGATCTGTATCTCCTGAGGGAGCCTTGGTGCCCCCCTGGAGCAGGCTGCCACCCTGCAGGAACAGCAAACACGCACATGCTACTGGAGAGTCAGGGTGCTCACATGGGTTCCAGCAACCACGGGTGTAGTATAGACAACACAGCACCCGGGAGAGGGGGGGCGCTCAGACCCCAGCAGACCCCCACCTACAGCAGCCTCCAGCCCTTTGCTCCAGCAGGAGGTACACCTGCAGGTTGGAACCTCAGTTCTCCGTCGGGTTGGGAGGGACCAGAGTGAAGCCCCACAGCACCGCGCACCCATCTGCACCTTCGGGGGTGCAGCAGTGACTTCCAATCCACACATCAGTGGCACTGGGGACCCTGCCTGTGGGGGTGGGATTGCCGCTCTGACTCACCCGTCTGAGCGCCATTGGTAACCCAGGCTCCCCTGGGCTGCTGAGCGGGAGTAGACCTCCACTTTGTCGGCCACCATGAAGGCCGAGTAGAAGCCCACTCCAAACTGGCCGATGATCCTGCTGCTGGCCTCCGCCTGGTTCTGCAGTGCTTCCAGAAAGGCCTGTGGGTGGGAAGGATTGGTCAGAAGGTTGTCCCCACCGTGTGGTCTCCCCTAGCACCTGCTCTCTTCTCAGCTGAAGTCAAACACACAAGGATCTTTCTCATGTTCCTGTTCATGTTAAGACCAGACCAGCCAGGGGAAGCAGGCCACCCTGGGGAAGAGGCTGTGTTCCACTTCTACAGCCAGCGTCTTGTCTAGTCCTGACCAAGCTGAATAGCAATTGTCCTGATACTGCCTTTTGTACAATGGCAACACTAGGGCCACTGCCTCGAGGCCCCTGTGCCCACCTGTGGCATGCTCCTGATGGGCCCTTAT